GAAAAAATGGGGGGGGGGGGGGGGGGGGGGGTGTTACGATCAAGCAAATCGCGGGGTCCTTGCTGTCCTGTCAGTGTCCTTTATAATGAAATATATTAGAGATTGCGCTTCAAATGTGTGATATCTTGTGTCAGACCCTTTGTTATATCTATATATATATTGATAATTAATATTATATGACGTATTTTCCTATACCCTCATTGGTTGGATCGTAATTACCTGGGGTCGGTGATTTGTTATACATGGTGTACTTACCCGGTCTTACTTTTTTATGTTAGGTGAATATTGATTTTATGTCGTCATTTCAATTGTGACGTCACAATGGTTTCTGCCAAATGCAGTACTTTCCTCCGTACAATTTTCATACGTTCTTTCTTTTTTCATGATTTAAACAACTATTAAGCATCTAATATCACAATTATATCACAGTTACACACTTTAATTTCGGTGAGTATGAGGTTATATGGACATGAGGGTTATATAACCACATATTGCACCTCAACAAAAGTACATAATTGATAAAAGTCGATAATTTCAATACATCAGTTGATGCTTTAATTAATTAAGTTAGATTCACGCTGGGTGTCATTGACATTTAAGGTCCCAAGATGACAGATATCCAATCAAACGGGTTCTTGCCATCAGGGAAATTGCTACATCTTGTAGATGGCATTTCTAAATCGGGCCAATTATTTGTATCCATGCAACGGTAGTTAACCTTTGATTGAATCGGCCTAGCTATAGGCTAGGCAGATGCTGTCTTATCAAATACCGCACGAAATCTCGTAAACAGCCAACACGTGACAGTTTTCGAATGATCTCGACACTCCATAAATCTTTTGTAGACAATATTGTATTGCTATTATTACCATAACACATGCAATCTTTAATGCTTTCCTAAAAACAGAAACCCATTATTTGAGTTTATGATGTCACACCGTCTATATTAAATCTCACAGAAGCCTGTGTTATGCTTGTTTATAATGTCAAATCGACGGTTTGATTAGATTTCGCCTCGTGCGACTTGCGACATGGTACCAGGATGCACCAACCAAGTGCATCCGGTGTTTATATACAAATCCAAAACGAGGCATGAGTTATATTCTATTTGACTTACTGTTTGCGGCAAATAAAATTGATGTTTTTGAGAATAATTAATAAAATCTGTGAAATAAATAAAAATACATGTAAGAAGTAACGAATTTTGTCGTTTTGAACATTTGTTTTTAACGTAATCAACGTATATGCATTTAACAAACATTTTCCTAATTTAAGTTACATTTGATTTCAGACCAATTCATGATGCCGTTGAAAATGACAACGTCGAGCTTGTGCGCATGCTCCTAGCTTTTGGTGCCGACCCGACGTTATCGACATATGGTGGGAAAACCCCTCTAAAAATAGCCCGATCTGACAGAATGAAACAACTCCTAGAAGGTAAATATGATGTATACACATGCACGTACTAAATCGTACTGATGAATTCTTGTTGAATTTTATTGTTCAAACATTTACTTTTAAATCTCTGAGGACATTTCAAAATTTAGGAGATTTGAGGTACGATTTTAATACTTAATGGTTATTGTAAGTATCAGACCAAACTGATTAAGGTCAAAAATGGATCCAATAGGTCAAAAAAGATGAGGTAGAACATATATATACAATAGCACCAACGTGCAAGTCAAAATCGACCAAACGTTCCGGAAGAGTAAGCATCCGTGATGACGTCGACTATGCAGTCCATGAAAATATGTCAATTTCCAGCGATCTGAAACAGGCTTTTATCACGAAATATACAGTGAACTCATATTTGGAATAATGTCATGATGACGTCATGGCAACGAAAAAGTTTCTCGGGTAGATTGAGACATTTCTGTAAGAAACCTGGAATACGTGACATATCGATCGCCAGTCGGCATTTACGTTAAAGTTCGAATTAATTGATTGATAATTTAAAGCATGCTCTTTAGAAGTCGTTCAACGTTGATGTGAAAACTGATATTCTGAAAGAGCAGGGTTCCGGGGTACTACAGAAAGCAGTTTGCTGTTCAATTTCCACATTATTTACAAAAAGTCATAGGTAAATTTCGAGTATAACAAAGAAAGCTAGAGTACAGATGCCCACTTATGACACATCCTGTGTCGTTTAGAACACACCAACATTAGTCTCTGCCTCGACGTACTGCGGCCTATGCACACGGTCGGATCAGGTCGTAGGGTTCTGGAAACCTTTGCCCAGAAAGCACTGTGATGGTTTCAGCTGTCTGGAGCTTTCCTGTTTCAATATCACTAGCCAATTACGAGTTACATATAACGCGATATTCTATTCCAAAACATTTCAGCTTTTTGGTTTGAGCAGCTACGGTAAGGAAGCTGTTCAACGTGACTAACGTTACAGGATAAGGAAAGCGTCTCTGACTTGATCTAAAACTCAATGAAGTGTCTCCACAATTTAATCGTTCTTTGCAAACATATCTTAAATGCGCAGGTACATTCGAAAGCTTGACACCGGCCATTTAATATGAAAAGGCGATATGTTGAGGAATTCGCGTGATATCGCCAATTCAAATAACTTGTATCAGGCATATACATGTATAAGTGATCAATTGTTCAATGTGAACATGCGATATCATAACACGGTTATACATATCAATATATTAGCGTCCTTGAACTTCAGCTTTTGTTTTGTAAATTTTGAGACAACCCCTCAAGTCTCGACTTGTCTGCTTCCGTCTCGGTTTCCGTTTCGGTTTCCGCTGTCAGTATCCGCTGACGTTAGAATTATCTTTTAAGGATGGAATTTTATATGTGTATAAATGGTTTATCTAAAGTATATTGTCCCCCTTGTGTTTATTTCTATACATTTTCATTTTATTTAGGTCACCTTGGAGATCTTAATGGGTTCGCCAGTGACCAGGACCGTACCGTCTGGCCATGTGCAGCTTTTGGAGGTACATTTATAGACACTATTCCATACCCAAATTCCAACCCACCAACCGAATTGTTTCCGCTACGCTCCTTCCCACAATGAAACCCTCCACTCCTTCTCCCTTCTTTATAGACGAATCCCATAAACAGTGAATATAGTATACGAATGATTATTCCTTATAATTCAATTTAAAAAGACACAACACTTTTTAGCTCATAGTTAAAACTTTTTATTCTGTCCTTTTACAAGCAAGACCATTTTGAACTTAACACAATATTGCGCCGTTATTTCTTCGCTGAACATTTCTACCGTCAGAAATTGGAATTTCAAATACCGCACCAAGCATTGCAGTATACGACGTCATCACTTTTTGTGTTGTCTATTTATGTTTACGTTATACAATGTAATATGAAAAGTCATTAGGAGATAGCCGGATACATGTTCAGTTTGAAAAGCAGACGCAATACTTGCAGAAAGTGATGCTTAATGCAGTACTCCAATAGAGAAACCATGACGTCATGTTCCTCATCTCCAAATTAATAGTAACGGACGAAAGCTGCGCAGGTTCAATACAAATAATTTGATTTGCGAGGAAGTGAGGAATTACAGTTTAAATGTGCTTTAAAGAGGAGGGTCTGCGTCGGTAGCCAATACAGGTTTAACTGTGTTTTGATGGTATATAGCCGCGCGGTAGCCACTCTAGTTTCATTACGATTTTATAGAACAGAGCCGTTTCGGTAACTATAATACGGTGGCTGAATTGTGCCATTTCGACTCATCGTTATTTCGTGTTGCAAGATCTAGAGTTAACGACACGACAACCATCGGTATTTCGCAACGAGAAGACGATGGTTAGCGCTGTTTCTTTTCGTTGTCGCCACTGACGCGAAGGATCGAAGAGGCGAATATTTAAAAGGACGCTAATTTACGTCTCCTAGTCTTCGTTTCGCTGGCAAGATGACAGAACAAAGTATGGCAGTAATTGTTGTCCCTTTGCTGCACACAACGCCAAGGCGACGGAACAAAAAGAATGTTCCGCTGACCCGGCGTTGTCGAACGCGGCGAATGGGCGTTATTGAGAGTCTTCCTACATACATGCACCTTCATTTTCACTCCTTCTTTGCGTCTTGAGAGGCGAAGGGATGAAGGAACGCTAATTATTTTACCCCTTGTGACGAAATATTTGATACAAGAATACCAATGCGACGAAGCAAAAACTATTCTCCTATCGCCACCGTTACTGAAAATAAGGATGCGACGAAATGGTACAATTTGGTCAGCATAATTTACTGTAGATTGGTTTGTTTTGATGGGACAGGGATGTGGTGATAACAATTGTTTTAGCTAGTGTTCATTGATGGTGCAACACCCGTTAGAGTCAGATTGTAAATCCCCAGTCAGATTGTGATTCCCGAGTCAGATTGTGATTCCCGAGTCAGATTGTGAATCCCCAGTCATCCCCAGTCAGATTGTGATTCTCCAGTCAGATTGTGATTCCCCCAGTCAGATTGTGATTCCCCAGTCAGATTGTGAATCCCCAGTCAGATTGTGATTCCCCATTCAGATTGTGAATCCCCAGTCAGATTGTGAATCCCCTGTCAGATTGTGATTCCCCAGTCAGATTGTGATTCCCAGTCAGATTGTGAATCCCCAGTCTGATTGTGATTCCCCAGTCAGATTGTGATTCCCCAGTCAGATTGTGAATCCCCAGTCAGATTTAGATTCCCCAGTCAGATTATGCTTTTCAGCAGGATGGCAAGCCAATGTGTAAAATCACAAAGCTTAATGGTGTTTTTGCAGTCAGATGATCAGCCGAGGGTGTAAAGTTACCTTTAACATGGGGTATAAGGTCAATCGAATGATCGGTACATGGTGTAAGATCACCAGTCAGATGGTGCATTGTCAGTCACATGACCAGTCGATAATGTTAACCTCAAATCAGATGGTTGATCGCTAGTAAGATGGTGCATTGTCCGTTTGATGATCGGTCAATGGTGTGAAATCACCATTAAGTTGGCGTATTGTCCGTTTGGTGATCGGTCAATGGTGTGAATTCACCATTAAGATGGTGCATCGTCCGTTTGATGATCCGTCAATGGTGTGAAATCGCCATTAAGATGGTGCATTGTCCGTTAGATGATCGGTCAATGGTGTGAATTCACCATTAAGATGGCGTATTGTTCGTTTGATGATCGGCCAATGGAGTGAAATCCCCATTAAGATGGTGCATTCTCCGTTTGATGATCGGTCAATGGTGGGAAATCACCATTAAGAGGGCGTATTGTCCGTTGGAGGATCGGTCAATGGTGTTAAATCACCATTAAGATGGCGCATTGTCAGTCACATGACCAGTCGATAATGTTAGCCTCAAATCAGATGGTTGAACGCTAGTAAGATGGTGCATCGTCCGTTTGATGATCTGTCAATGGAGTGAAATAACCATTAAGATGGCGCATTGTCAGTCACATGACCAGTCGATAATGTTAGCCTCAAATCAGATGGTTGATCGCTAGTAAGATGGTGCATTGTCCGTTAGATGATCGGTCAATGGTGAGAAATAACCATTAAGATGGCGCATTGTCAGTCACATGACCAGTCGATAATGTTAACCTCAAATCAGGTGGTTGATCGCTAGTAAGATGGTGCATTGTCAGTCGCATGACCAGTCGATAATGTTAATCTCAAATCAGATGGTTGAACGCTAGTAAGATGGTGCATTGTCCGTTAGATGATCGGTCAATGGAGTGAAATCACCATTAAGATGGCGTATTGTCCACATGATGAGTGGTCGTTGATGTTAGAGCACCAGTCAGAAGCGTACGTGACAGACGCGTATTTATGAGGGTAATTAGTAGAGGCGTTTGACTCGGTATCTTCGCGATAAAGGGGAAGCAGGAAACTAGTGTCGTTCTAATCGATAGCTGATCCGAGAATTTTCTGGATTCACACACAAAATCCATTATAGGCGAAACAACCTGTCTGTATGTCCCGAAAGGTACGGATACCTATATTTATGTGTCATTGTCTAGTCTGGGATACGATTTAATGTACATGTAGCTTGTATGCCGTTTTAGAAAACTTCAAACTTCTATCAACGAGATCTGCCATCATTGTATATGGGTTAAAAGCTAGGTTGATCGATTGAATTTCGATTTTTCTGACCCTCGGGCTGTCATTCACACAAATAGGTTTCGAACCCTCGGGCTAACATACAGTTCAATTCAATATTGAATTGCTTTTTTTCGAACCCTCGTCATACTTACACCCCGAGGGTTTCGGAACCTTCGGGTAAGCATACGAACAGAGGGTTTCCGTGCCCTCGTCAAACGATAGAGTCGGAGGGTTCTCTTACTAAAGTGACACTTTCCGGTTTATATTTTACTTTAAACATGTTCGTTTACTTCCTAATGGTGGAAGTACATGTAAATATTAGGTCGTCACGGTACATTTTCACTGCTTATGAACATCAGCAATGGTTATCATGGGTGTGAGGATCGACAATATAGTACCACTTTTTGGTGAGCATGAGCTTGAAGTTCCGTTGAGCGTCCTAACACTGTTTTTCTCTTTTAAGTATATTTAAGGATTGGTTGTCATATTTTTGACATGCATTGGTGTGTAACATACATTGGCTTACCTACATATTGAATGGTGAGCGCTAGCGTACCATGTTAAATATATAGGTAAGCCAATGTATTTACATTTTATGTTAATCAACTTACAGTTCACGTAGAAATAAAGACATACTATAAGTCTGAACACGTTTCAACGTCAGGGTACATCCAGATAGCCACCAGTTGACAGTGGAGCAGTGCAATCTCCAACGTTACAGTTATGACGTCATACGAAATAACATGCATTGGGCCCAGTAGAAACATCTAGTCTCTGTGCAGTGGAAATGTAAATATTGACAAATGTTTCCTGTCATTCAGGTTGTGTAAAAAAGGTAGTGAAAAAAACACCTTCTCGGCTTTGTCTCTGTAAAGTACAGATATTATTAAAACGCGACATTAGTTTATGTTATGTTGCTCACTTGACTAATGCACAGTGACAGTGCTGACACCAAAGCAATGTCCCCTGCACAACTTAAGTATCTGTTTGGCGTGTGTGGTATGCAATGACATATTTCACCGCGCGCCTTTTACATCTCCAGGAATCCCTTGTGGTTGTTGCGCTATGTCGTGTATACTTTTGGGTTGGTATCCCGGATGTGTAACCCGGATGCTAGCTTGGTACGATGACGAATCAATACTTGATAGTAACGTGATCTTGATTACGTAGTTTTATGCTGATCTAAAGTATAACTTGTTTGTAATGTACTCAAAGTAACCCTCAACAATCCAATTTGATTCAGATTAATTTTAGTAAAGCATAACCAAGCCTAGTTATTAGTTTTACCGTAGTCTTTTTGCTAAGATATTGAACAAATTAATAATAAATATAATATAAATCATTTTAACGTACCAGTGATTTGTCTTGTCACTGATCCAAACTTACGTATCGTTTTCACCTACTTTATTTGGAATTCTGTGGTTACCGAACGGTATTGATAAAAAATTCGATTAATCTAACATAGTTTGAGGCTGACGCTCGCGGCATGCTAGTCACGTGGCTATCGATCAATCCACGTGTCAATACTGTCTTCGGAACAGCTCAGACAGAACTACCGAAAATCATTTATTGACATAATGGGCGAACGTCTGTGAAAGCAGGGCACAGAATTCCGATAATTCTTTAGTATGAAAAGTTCACTTACAGTTATATGCGTATTTATTTGTATAGCCACGCGACAGTTTAGGGAGAAGGTTCATGTCCGTCTGTCTGTAGACACAATCTCGTCATGTCAACTTTCACCAGTGTCTGTCCGATTTCCTTCAAACCTGGCAGTATTTACCACCAACAAACAAATACAATTGAACGTGTGTACCCAGCACAGCGACCTCATGCTTTTTGGCAAAGATATTGCCCTTTTTGAATTACAGTTTTGTTTGGACAGCTAGTCCCAAATAACTTTTCTTTCAATTTCATAGAACTAGTGTTTAGGCTTATTTATCATTAGCTGTATATATATACATGTCTGTCGAGCATCCTCCTCTCCGAGCTATTACTTCGGTAGGGCCATACATACGGATCAGTACAAGTTTGGGGACTAATTGTTTTTACCTAGTTTTTTGCTGTTTTTGTTCTTCTTGTTAGTGCTCTTGTTGTATGTATGGGCACGATGAGCGTTTTCTGATGATTAAGACCCACCCTTTTACGGACGGATGAGCATTTACCTGTTGTTTATGTACATGTGTAAGCTAGCTTACAGTACTCTACTCATTCGACCGATGGCCATTGAACTGCATGCAATTTCCTGTCGTTATTTCGTTCTTTCATAACTTAATTCATTTCCGGAATATCAATATTGTTATTGCTACTTTTGAATATCAGGATAAGCCGTTTACATTCTGATAGTTTGTACAAACATGACCGAAAAGGATTGTCAGGTGTGTTTACCGCATCCCTCGAAATGTGACAAAACCATGTACTTGTGAAAATCAATCTATATCTATATATATATAGGCGAATGCGTAATGTTGAACAGGCATTTATGTTATCCGATTGGAATAAAGGTTAGGGATCCGTGATATAATGTCTGAAATTCAACAACACTATCACACAAAAGAACATATAGTATTGCACATCCTACCCCGTCTGTAGAAATTTCTAACCCGTTAACCGGTAGTTCATTCATGTAGTCAAGTGCGACAACTCTCAAGTGATTCTTTTCGATTCTTGTGAAGAAGTGAAAGATAGTGTGCCGTAGTAAGTTTTGGAAACTGGATTAAATGTCTTAGTATAATAAGCTTATTACACAGGGGCATGTCACATGTACGAACCGGCGTCACAGTGGTTATACAAAAATTGTGACGCCCGTTCGTACCTGTGGCACGTCCTCTTTGGTTTAGTATTGTATCCGCCCTCTCACACACGTACACACGCACACAACCACGCACGCACACAGGATATACACATACTGTAAACCTTCCCCTTCCCTTCCCCCTTTCCATATCGTAGCCTCTCCTCTCCCGTGATCTCCTCTACTTTTCCGGGTTGTTTGATTTGGTTTCATATTTACGAAACTGAATGCGTTGGTAATACGATATTTTCTACGTACTCGTTCACCTTTGGTTTCAGCAGACGATAAGACATTCCCGGGTATGGGCATTTTCAACAACATTCCTGCTGACCCTGCGGAGGAGGACGAAGGCGACTATATCATGGAATCACGTGACCCTGAATTCACGTGCTTCAAACTCGCCAAGACGGACAACAAGAATACGTAAGTACAATGCATTACAATTTGTTGTTTGATAATCGAGAGAACCCTGTCGACAGATTACCCGGACGAGATCGCTCCATGCGTAACATGATGGCACAATTTTTTTTTTACCACCTTGGAATTTCATTGGAAATATCGAAGCCTACAGTACGTGGGGTAGACGCCAGGTACTGGCTGCAGGTCGGCGATGTTCGTCTGAACACTACGGTTTACCTCCGCTACGAAAACTTGTCAGCTGTTTAAAGGGCGTAAAACACAAACAAACCGAATCATTGGAAATTATCTACGAAATTCCAGGTTTCCGCGCACATACGTGTAGAGAAGTAAGAAACAGGTAACACCTGGAAGTTGGAGGAATTTGGAAATGGGACAGTTCTATTTCGTTCGAAGCTATAAAACCATGTTTGCTCTTCAGAATTGGGAAAGATAAAACACTGAACAAAGTAGTCAGTATTTCCGAGAACCAATTTCGTGAAAGTGGTTAAAGCGTGTGATCGTCTACGATCGATCACGAGCCCTCCACCACTGGGTCGCCGGTTTGAGGCCCTCAAGATACCGTCCGGTGGTTTTCTCCGGGTACTCCGGCTTTCCTTACACCTGGTACGTCGTTAAATGTCAAAAAAACAACAACGAACAAACAAAAAAATAAACCGAAGTCGTGAAAGCAATTTGTAAAGAAATGTTTCCTATATCTTTATTTGTGACCCGGATACACAGCTGGGTCACATTGTGTTAGCATTCAACAATAATTTCTTGGGACATTGCCCTTATAGCACGCTTTAGTAGGTCATGCTGTGTGACTGACATACACGTTTATGTTCCATCAAATGTATGTATCATTATATCCTTCATACATATTAATAAGTGCTTGTATAAACCACGATCCTATATCCTGTGTTAGATTAATGGCCATAGTTTAGTTTCATCAAATGTATGTATCATAATAACCTTCACACATATTGATAGTTGCTTGTATAACCCACGATCCTATATCCTGTTTTAGATTAATGGCCATAGTTTAGTTTCATCAAATGAATGTATCATAACAACCTTCATACATATTGATAGATGCTTGTATAACCCACGATCCTATATCCTGGGTTAGATTAATGGCCATAGTTTAGTTTCATCAAATGTATGTACCATAATAACCTTCATACATATTGATAGTTGCTTGTATAACCCACGCTCCTATATCCTGTTTTAGATTAATGGCCATAGTTTAGTTTCATCAAATGTATGTATCATAACATCCTTCATACATATTGATAGTTGCTTGTATAACCCCCGATCCTATATCCTGTGTTAGATTAATGGCCATAGTTCAGTTTCATCAAATGTATGTATCATAATAACCTTCACACATATTGATAGTTGCTTGTATAACCCACGCTCCTATATCCTGTTTTAGATTAATGGCCATAGTTTAGTTTCATCAAATGTATGTATCATAACAACCTTCATACATATTGATAGATGCTTGTATAACCCACGATCCTATATCCTGTGTTAAATTAATGGCCATAGTTTAGTTTCATCAAATGTATGTATCATAACAACCTTCATACATATTGGTAGTTGCTTGTATAACCCACGATCCTATATCCTGTGTTAAATTAATGGCCATAGTTTAGTTTCATCAAATGAATGTATCATAACAACCTTCATACATATTGATAGATGCTTGTATAACCCACGATCCTATATCCTGTGTTAAATTAATGGCCATAGTTTAGTTTCATCAAATGTATGTATCATAATTTCCTTCATACATATTAATAGTTGCTTGTATAACCCACGATCCTATATCCTGTGTTAAATTAATGGCCATAGTTTAGTTTCATCAAATGTATGTATCATAACAACCTTCATACATATTGATAGATGCTTGTATAACCCACGATCCTATATCCTGTTTTAGATTAATGGCCATAGTTTAGTTTCATCAAATGTATGTATCATAACAACCTTCATACATATTGATAGATGCTTGTATAACCCACGATCCTATATCCTGTGTTAAATTAATGGCCATAGTTTAGTTTCATCAAATGTTTGTATCATAACAACCTTCATACATATTGATAGTTGCTTGTATAACTCACGATCCTATATCCTCTGTTAGATTAATGGCCATAGTTTAGTTTCATCAAATGTTTGTATCATAACAACCTTCATACATATTGATAGATGCTTGTATAACCCACGATCCTATATCCTGTGTTAAATTAATGGCCATAGTTTAGTTTCATCAAATGTATGTACCATAATAACCTTCATACATATTGATAGTTGCTTGTATAACCCACGCTCCTATATCCTGTTTTAGATTAATGGCCATAGTTTAGTTTCATCAAATGTTTGTATCATAACAACCTTCATACATATTGATAGATGCTTGTATAACCCACGATCCTATATCCTGTGTTAAATTAATGGCCATAGTTTAGTTTCATCAAATGTATGTATCATAACAACCTTCATACATATTGATAGATGCTTGTATAACCCACGATCCTATATCCTCTGTTAGATTAATGGCCATAGTGAAGTAGATACATCCGTACTGATATGACAATACAACTAGGGTTATGTTTATTTTAACGTGATTGATGGCGATACATACCAATAAACATCAATACCATTAGGAATATATTGATGTATATTTCGTATTTAGATTCTTTGAGAAATCCCTCAGTGTTTTTACTTCCGAAAGATGACGTCACTAGATTGGGATCTGTATCATACATCGTGTACGTCGCACGCGTGTATTGTTTCATATAGGCCAGTAAACTTACATGTATTTCTATAATAGTACTTTAATTACAAGGCCTGTAGCATCTTTATTTATATGTTATCGATTTAGAATTAAGGCCTGAACTTGCAATTTAGCGAAATTATATGACCAGAGCGTGAATTTTACGTTCTCGTTTCGGCTTGGAATCCGTTTGTAGCCCACCACCATCTGATGGTGGGCTATTCAAATCGCCCTGCGTCCATGGTCCGTCCTTTAACAATTCTTGTTATCGCTATTTCTCAGTTAGTACCAGAGGGATCTTTCTCAAATTTTACATGTAGCTCCCCTTTGGTCCCTCGTTGTGCAGGGCAGTTTTTGAGACTGATCGGATAAAAAAACATGGCCGACAGGCAGCCATCTTGGATTTTGATAGTGAAGGTTTTTTTTATCACTATTTCCCATAAAGTACTGAAGGGATCTTTCCTAAATTTGTTATGTATGCTTCCCTAGGTCTGTTGTTGTGCATGTTTAATTTTGAGAATGATCAGATAAAAAAAGGGCCGATAGGCCACCATCTTGGATTGTGACATTAAAGGTTAGTTATCGCTGTTTCTCTCAATAAATAGTGGAGAGATCTTTCTCAAATCTTATATGTAGGTTCCCCTAGGTCCTTAGTTGTGCATATTTACTTTTGAGACTGATCTGATAAACACGATGGCAGACAGGCTTCGATTTTTGACATTGAACGTTTGTTAGTACTATTTCTCAGGAATAACCTGGTGATCTTTCTCAAATTTGATACGTATGTTTCCCCTTGATCCCTCGTTGTGCATGCTATATTTTGAGACTGATCATTAAAACAAAATGGCTAAAGGAAAAACTAAACAGATCTTTCTCATATTGCAATGATCGATTCTATTTCTTTCACATTAAGTACTGTACTTGTAAATATGTGAAATGACAAACTCACTTTGAAGGTTGTCTTTTATACACAGCAGTATTAAGTTTAGATCAAAAGTTACCTCAAGGTGCATTTACTGTTAAAAAGAACTAATGAAGATGGTACAATGGTGAGCGCCAAGATCCCTCTTGGATCTCTTGTTATAATTTACAAAAGTAAACCACGTTTGCGCATGCTCAGGTAGTTGGAAATACGCCAACAAATGTTCGTAAATGAGCTTCTGAAGTATAGCCATACTATTTTTGAAACCAAATTGTAAATTAAAATGACAATAAAACCCTCCAGTCTTGTCAACATCTCCTCATCAAATGATCATAAGCAGTATCAAACTTCATTATAGAGTTTAGAATATACAGATTTCAAAACTCTTGCCATCGCACAGCGGACAGTTTCAAAAGTTACAGTGCGAACGCGAAACTGTCCGTTTTATATTGTCGGAATGTTAACGAAGGATTTGTAATAACACTGCAATTGTGTTTACATTGTATATTGGCACACAGTTATCAGAAACCATTTCGACTTCAAGCCAGTTCAAAAATGATTGTAATTGATTAGATGAAAACTACACCTATTAAGATTTACAAACAGGAATCCTTACGTGATTCTAACAATAAGAGTTTTAATTTGTCAGAAATACGCGTTTTATAAGACAAATGCAGTGTGGGAAGTAGAAGTAGGATCACGAGACTGGCTATGTAAACATTGACCCGATGCACGCAAGCGCGTGTATCCTACACCACTTGATATTTGTTAAAGGTTGATGAAATCCCAGGTCACGTGGTGATCACATGTTGGTAGGGAACAGTCATTTAGCATTGGCATAACTGATGGAATACCATCGCGCGCGGTGTTGCATACGAAATTCGATAATTTACGGAAATTTTGGTAGCATTATCAGAGAGTTGAGACATGACCAGACACAACTTGTCTTTAAATGCTTAAAGATATTAACTAGCAAGACTAGGTCTTTAATTTCTCCGAGATGTTTCCGCACTAGGTCACCCCTCCAGAATACGGCAGTAATCCGCTTTACTCGCCTGCCATCGATCTTATCCGGAGACAACGGACGGGACCGGTATCGATTTTATGTTGAACACAATACTTCCGGCGTTAATGTTTATGTCGTCACAAGCTGCCGAAGACTGTCGCCTTGTTTCTGAATGTTTTACGACCAAAATGGCTACGCTTACAAATGCCGGAGTCCACGCGATGTTATTTCATCTGTCGAGCGTTACAACGAAGTTAAGAGATAGCATATAGTTTATAAGTGTTAAACTGTTTATTCGTGTTATTTGAATATTAGCCATGTGAACCATATTTGTATATTGCAACGTAATGATATTTTGTGATACTGTGTATACACTCTATCTAGATAACAAGACCGAAATTACACCGAATTTAGTAGACGGTATATAGCGAAACAAAAACATCAGAATGACACTGATCCCATTGCGTTCAAAATCTTACAATAAAGACTGCAATTATGATTATATATACAATGTTTTCAAATATTGTATATTGTTATACAAGTATAATACGCCGGTGTAACGTTCGTTTATTTTTTATGCAGAGGTTCCGATGTTCGAATAACCGGAAGTCCAGGGGATCAAATTGATGTTATTGCAGACTAAACCTAACCTATTGTAGCGGGCTAACGTTTTGTTTGCACTGTTGTATCGGTAGAAACTAGAAATTGTTGCCATAGCAATGTCCATGTGGATTAATGATTTAACGGTCAAATCAGTTTAAACTGCAAGAAGAGCAAGAGGTGGTCCCGACATTCAAGAAGAGCACAATCATAAATAAGACTATTCGTGGGCGAACGGCACTTGTAGTGCGGTTCCATATATAACGAAGGCATACAATCTTGATGAAGTATCTCTTTCGCTGTTAACGTTACGGTTACGGGGCTGTTCAAGTAGTCCCTTATGAAATAAGACTTTGAAGAGTACACTAAATTAGGTATTGGGTTTACACTTGAGTAAATGGTAAAATGGGGGCGAGACCGATACTCAGCCATTTGATGAAGCGTTCCAGTATAGAAATGCAAATAGCAATTAGGGAACACGCAACAACTGAAAACAATGTTCCGTCGGGTACTCGTGATGTTTCCGTAGCGGGTATTCGTGAAAATTTTGCGGTCCCGTCTGGCAAAACATGTAGTACTACTGATGGTTCCGTCCGAGGGTAATAGTCGTTGTCCCTTCTATGGCTTTTGTAATAGTACTGGTGGTCCCGTCTGAGGGTACCCGTGGTACTACTGGTGGTTCCCTCCGAGTGTACACGTGGTACTACTGGGAATCCCGTTCGAGGGTACGCGTGGCACTACTGGTGGTCCCGTCCGAACGTACGCGTGGTGCAACTAGTGGTTCTGTCTGAGCGTACGCGTGGTACAACTAGTGGTCCGTCCGGTTTTACGCGTTATACTACTGGTGGTCCCTCCGATTGGACACGTGGTACAACTAGTGGTCCGTCCGAGCGTACGCGTGGTACAACTAGTGGTTCTGTCCGAGCGTACGTGGGGTACTACTGGTGGTCCATCCGATCGTACACCTAGTACTCTGTCTTTTGTACTACAAGTACTAGTGGTCCTTTTCGATGGTACTCGTGGTTCTTTCGGTGGCCCCCGCACAAGCACATGTGGTAATACTAGTACTTCTGAGCCCCTCCAATGACACTTATGGTACTAGCTGTAATCCCGTCCAAGGGTACTAGTTGGTTATACTAATGGTAGGTAGACCCGTCCGTAGGTACTCATGTTATTTCTGTTGGTCACGTCTAACGGTATTCGTGGTTCTCATTTCGGAGCATCTCGTCTAGTTACCATCTACTGCATTAACCTTTCTCTCGGTGCATATAAAAACATACCGGAGCAGTTTAACGACTGTAACATTTAAGTGTAAATAAACCAAAATGTCACATCACCTTCGCTTCGATGTGTTTCGTGCGGAATTCACATTGCATGGTTTCGTTAATGAGTAAACAGGGGCTAGCGTGCGATGGCAGATCAATACGAACTGCGTGGATCACGTAGACATTCCGAATTGGTCGATATCAGATGTACTGCCCGTTTGTAGCCGATATGGACCAGCCTCTTGGGTGAACGCCCTTGTCGATGTTTGGTAAAATATAGGAAGTTATCAGACATGTACCTCGGGTAACGCCCTCCTCCTCTGGGGCATAAAAGGGATAATTTGGCCGTCAAGCCGTATGGATTTACATACACATACACTACCGATACAAGGCTTACAAATATGAACTACTACCTGGGCCTAACTGTGATACAGTCATATCCAAAACAAAATCCATGGGAGGTTATTGTATACAGGGCTCCTTAAAAAAAGGAAAATTTATTTATTTTACTACAGCTGTGAAAACAGTTATATCAACATATATTAACCACTCTTGTTGCCTCAGGTGGTAGCGCACATGGGGTCTTCATAGGGGAGGACATCGGAGTACCCGGAGAAAACCTATTGGTCGGGAAGATGACCCCATATCTTTTCACGGCTGAGCGGGGAATCGAACCTCTTGCGTCTTTGAGAAAAGCTGGTGCACTATCCCTTGCACCACCCGGCCACCCTGCCGCTGTCCTTATTAATATTTTTGTTGTATAATGCATCATTTTGATAAGAAAATATACATAATTTTCATGTATAACTTCTTATTATTGATAAACGTACTGATCAAAGTATTTTAATATATAAAATGTTTAACTAATTTTCTGTTTTATTTTTTTGCAGGTCTGGGAATCACGTGCTGTTGAATGACGTCACAGATTTTCTGCAGATACGATTGGACGATGTCCTTAGTGATAGTAGTGTAAAATCCATGGTTACAAACGTCTCCAAAACGAGACTTGCAGCGACATCTTACGGCCAGACTCACCCTGAGCGCGTATCACGAATACCTGGCACCTCCGGAAAAGCAGTACCCTCGCGGGATCTGAAAGAAGTGTTTGACATTTGCTCTAAACGAAAAGCAGCTGCGAAAAGTGCCCTAGCTCAATCAAATTTCCCCCATAAATTCAAACATTACAAGTTACAGAAAGGATACGACTCGCAATTCGATACTCCTTCCACAAGTGCGCATGTGCGGGAGACCAATCGATTTCAACAAGTCGGTATCACAAAGTGCAATTTTGAGGAAACTAACTCGAAAAATTCGATGGCGTCATCGCGGGGATGTAAACTGGACATGCGCACTGCCACCGCATCTTCAGACTGTACTAGCGTTTCCGATAGTGTTTACGATTTTGATGACGTAACAGACGATTTTGCTGACGTTGCCGATAACTTTACTATGAGGATTGGCGCAGTGCCCGAAGACTTCCGAGTGTTCAACGGCCATCCGAATGTTACCGGTAATTGTAAACAGGACTTTGGTTCGAAATTATAGCCCTGTGAACCGCCTCCTTGAAAAGGCGGCAAATCAATCAGAATTGTGCATTTTCGTACATACGCGTGGGGAACATATCATGTTTTAATTGAGCTGTATGAATGCGATTTCTTAAACAGAAATATCTACAAAATTTAACGAGAAAAGGATGCGTAACATGTGTTTACATCAGGAAATTAGAAACGGGGAACTACAAATCATTGAAAAGGAATCGACCACAATATCAACGCTTTTAAAAAGTGTTTTAACTGACTTTTGGCGGATTTTAAAAACTTGACTGTAGTTCTTGCAATATTTCAAATCCTTTTATTCGACTTGATGCAAAACAGCATTTTAATTGTATTCGAAATGAAGTGCCATATATGTAGATAATTCAAAAATCAATATGCCACATAAATTGCATGGATACCATGGTAACTGGAGGGAAATGTACAGCAGTAATGTCAGGAACAAATAGGTGATAGATAACAAACAATGTTACTGGATGCGTAACACGGATTTTTATTGGATAACGTCAGGAAGGATTCGATTGGGTGATGCAACGAACCTGTACTTGGTGATGATACGATCGATTGTATTGGCTGTTGTCATGAAGGTTTCTATTTGATGATGTTGATTTGTTTTATTGAGTTATAAACAATAAGACGAAGGATAGTGAGTATATGCATTTTAAAATATTGGATCGCACATCTTATGAAACGGCATATACATGTATACGAGTGATTTTTTTTTATCGAACTTATGAATAAGTATTAAATGTTGAAAATATCGGATATCTGTAGTCTTTTAACTGGGTTGTTGATGATATTGTCGAATACTCATTGAAGGATACGATACAAAACGTGACATGATTCGTAAATGTGGTACTTAAGATTTTTTTTTCTGTTTAAAGTATCTACAAAGATGAGTGAGTTGACACGGGTGTTGTCTTTGTATGGGAGTAGTGTGTGGTATGATATATTATGGTTTACAGAAATGATCTCAAATATATAGTGTTTAAACTTCATTTGTAAAGTAAAGAACATATGTACAAGATATATTGTATGATGGATCTCGAGGTTTGTATATATATTATACTCTATAATCTATTAGGTATCTTAACCCTTGTTCTGCTGTTTTTAATAATGGACTCGTCCATATCAACAGATGGCAGAGTCTACTAAATCTACATAGGGGTGATTGGGTAAATGTATAAATATAACCTAGTTTATGACAGGTCTAAGGATACAGTCTAACAAGCTTTAACCGCGGACCAATATAACCAGAACGCACGACTCCATGTGCTCCAAGTTACCGTACTTACCCTGTTATTAACTAAATCTGATTTATTTACGGTAAAACCTCGTTATACTGTCATCGTTTGCCAAGAGAAAATTTGACGTTATAAAAGGAATTGGTGATTAATTGAATAAGAGATATAACGAGATTCATAAGGGAAAAAAGACTTACATTGGCGATAGCCGATGTAGTAAAAGTAACGAGGGGCGCTACATCAAGATTGGCTGTTTTTCCACCAGAAAATATTAATGTTTGAAAGGAAATACCGTCAAGATATGTTTATAGACATACACATTATATTTCTTTCCAAAATCTGCCTCATAGCGACGTTATAATTACAGTATAGTAAAATCGTTGTCAGGCTTAGGTAGAGGAATATCAGCACTGGTACTTCCTTGGTAGGGAATTGTTTGTGTCCTCTCGGAAGTCTATAAGGTCTGAATAAATTAACTTGTTATTGTAAGATAAAAATCGAATTTAAAAAACAAACAAACAAACAAACAGGGGAATAATTAAATATCACCAAAATCCTATTTCGAAATCCAAATAGAGAACATATTTTGCAAAATATGAAAGTTATTAAATGTTATGTTATATTGAAAATGTAAAAGAAGAATAAGACCATGAGCTCCGGGAGGTTAAGCGTCTTCTTATAAATGTACTTCACATTTTTTGGGGAGATAAAGTTAATAAGGTCTCAAAATATTCCACATAGTCTGAATAAAAAATATCAGCCTTTGGGAGAAAAATAAAGTCCATCATCTCGTGAATGATTAAGACCACAACGTGATACTTCCTTTGGACTAAACCTTCAGTTTCTTGTCGAGAGTCCATAAACATAAGCATAAACAGTCTGAATATATTAAGTCAACAAGGAAAAATAAAGGTTACATTGTCTAAAAATATAAAGTCCATATAGCTTTGATAAATATTCTAAATAAAGTAAAATCAATATTGCCTAAATAAAAGCTGAAAAAAGTTAATAATGATAATAAATGAAGTCTGTGATCTTGACAATTAAAGTAAACAAATGAAGTCTGTGATCTTGACAAATAAAGTAAACATTTTGATCTGCACGAGCGAAGTCAATATCATCTTCATGTAGTCACGACCAGCAAATGCATGTAGTCCGCTTAGATTAACACAGATGAAGCCATATATGGGATAATTATAATCTATCACTCCTATGTGTTATTAACAAAGAAATCTCAACGAGGGTTAAAAAACATTCGAAGTTTCTTGCGCCAGGCTTTGCTGAGTGCTGAACCTCAACACTCTTATCCCGAGGGTTGATATTTCTATGTCTGCATCGCAAATGGGTGATTGAATATTTCTCTCCCAAACTTTACATACTATTAATACCATATAAACCTATTTTATAATGGTGCACCCAAAATGCACAGCGCAATCCCCGAGCACGCATGAAATGTGTGACAGAACTGAAGACGCTTCCCTGGTTAAACTTCATTAAGTGATGACGCTCCTCTGGTTAGACGCCGCTTCCTTGGTAACACTGCATAAAGTGATGACGCTTCCCTGGTTACACTACATAAAGTAATGATGCAGTAGTGACGTTTTCAGAGTCACAGTCCGTGTGATCTGTCAAGTAATGACAGGATAATCTTTTCCCCAGCAAAAACGGGAAATAAACTGTGAAGTGTTGGAGAGTTATAGATTTTGACATTCATTTGATATGTGATCGATATTATTACAGATATATATTTAGCCCCATAATGTATTGTTGAAGAAATGTGATGGTACAAATTCAATTTTGTTAAATACTGGTTATGTTCCTTGTTTAATGATAACCGCTTGGGGGCGCTATGTACCTTGTTTAATGATAACCGCTTGGGGGCGCTTATCGTAGTTAGCTAACAATTAGCGAGGCAATTCGTTTTTATTTTCAACAAACGTCGTTCAGTATTACATATTCGTATGTGATCCGTGTATGTTATATATAGTTTATTGTTATCAGAATATTGTTTTGTTTTTAGGTCACCTGAGCTTTAGCTCAAGTGACCTATTGCTATCCGTTTTCGTCCGTCGTCGTCCGTCGTCCGTCGTCCGTCGTCCGTTAACATTTTACATTTCAAACTTAAAGTCAAGTTCTGCTGGGCCGATTGAACTGAAAGTTGATAGGAATGATCGCCTCATGGTCCTGACAAAGTGTTGTTATTTTTCGGGTCGATCAGAAATCCAATATGGCCGCCACGGCCGCCATTTTGAAAACCTATTTCAAACTTAAAGTCAAGTTCTGCTGGACCGATTGAACTGAAAGTTGGTAGGAATGATC